TAACTGAATGTGCTATCTAATCTGTAAACCTGTATCCCATCAATCCAGGTTTATATTAGGCACAGAGTTTGGTTGACTAACAACTACTAGTTATTAAGTCCAACCAGACCACTTAATAAGCCTAGTCAACTTGCACCACTTAATTAAGGCCCTAATATATAATATATAATATATATTATTAGGGAAAAACTTACACGAGCTCCATCCTACTTCAATATTAAGAATGTCATTTGTTAAAATATACATGATACAAATAATCCAAATTAATAAGAGGAAAAAGCAAATTCCGTTCAACTTTGAGAACATCTCTTATATATCTCTAGGTGATTTAAAATCTTACTTAGGGGTGGCGTAAACTTCATGTAAACCCGAATAGTTTTCGGATTAAAATATATATATATATATATATATATATATATATATATATATATATGGTTCAGATATCGGGTGTTAATATTTTATCCATACCAATCCCAGCTCGAACTAATTTAAACACTTATGATTCTTTATAATGTAGTATTTATAATGTCTCCACCACCAGGTTCGGTCATATGACCACCCATTTAGAATGGTAACAGATTTGTCATCACACTATATAATAGTTGTCATATAAAAACTTGGGGATGTGGTTGAATGGAAGGGGTTCATCCATCCTTAACCAAATGTGAGTAGATCATTGACTTTGAGTAGTGAGCAATCTTAAATCTCCATAGATGTGCCATATAAATTATATATTTAGTTTTAAATGTATTTCACAATTGATAATATATTAATTTCCAATAGTCTCTTAGTTAATTAATTATTAGTAATTTGTATTTTTTTTTAGTTTGATAGTATATAAAAATATATATATAAATACACCAATAATAAAATATTAAAAAACTTAAAATTGATAAAAAATAAAGTTTTGGATGTATCTGAACTAACCCGGAATAACCTAAAAAAAATTCACCCGAACCAAATATATCTAAATTAAATTTGATTCTGATATCACGTGTAAAAATATCACCCAAAATAAATTTTGAATATCATCATCCGAATTGAACCAACACAGCACCCCTATTCTTAATTTCTTCAAAATGTACCAGCCCCATCCTACTTCTATAATAAGGATGCAATTCGTTAAAGCAACGCGAATAATCCAAACCGATAAGGGAAAAATACAAGTTCAGTTCAACCTTGAGAATACCTGGCTCTTATATATCTCTAGTTGATTTAAAATTTAACTTCAAAATATAAAAACCTCATCATATTTCAATATTAAGGATGCCATCCGTTAAAGTATAGGCGAATAGTGCTAAGTAAGGGAGAAAAGTAAGTTCAATTCAACTTCGAGAACACCTCTTATATATTAAGGGTGACATCCGTTAAAGCATAGGCGAATAGTGCGAAATAAGGGAGAAAAGTAAGTTCAATTCAACTTTGAGAACACCTCTTATATATAATATATTAAATATATTAAGGATGTCATCCGTTAAAGCATAAGCGAATAGTGCGAAATAATAGCAAAAAGCAAGTTCAATTCAATTCAACTTTGAGAACACTTCTTATATATATCTAATTGATTTAAAATCTTATTTCAAAATGCACAAGTCTCGTCATACTTCAATATTAAGGATGGCATCGGTTAAAGCATGCACGAATAGTAAAAAAATATTAAAAAATTCAAAATCTACTATATATTATATATATACTAATAAGAGCCCAAGAGAGTTAGGGCTATAATGGGTAGAAAAAATGGCGGTCAAATTTTTTAATCAAATGAATGGCTCAGATTGATTAGATTTTAATTTTTCATTGAGATTTCCTAATTTATCCTTAATGAATATGATTATTCGTTAACTTTTCCGTTAAATATTATCTTTTCCGTTAATTTCTGTTAATTCACCGTTAACTTACTCATTGATTTCATTAAGAAAGGTCTTAGGTTCGAACCACATCCCAATCAAAGTTGGCATAATTAGTATTTTGTTTTACTCTTATTGAATTAAATAATAATTTAGTAGCTACAACAAAAAATAATGCATATACATTTCTTTAATTTAGAATTATGTGTCTACAATGCCTTTATTAAAAAATAAATAAAATTATTCATTATCAATAAATTAAATAAGAGAAATAATTTCATTAGTTATATTGTATTTATTTTTCTCCAATATAAAAATTCTTTACAATCAAAATTTAAATTTATCAATTGATTATATTCGCTATATTGTCTTTATTAAAAAAATTATTCATTATCAATAAATTAATTAAGAGAAATAATTTCATTAGTTATATTGTCTTTATTTCTCTCCAATGTAAAAATCTTTACATTCAAATTCATCAATTGATTATATTCACTACATTGTCTATTATATTTTTTGAACACTATTCTATAATTAAATATCAAAGTTATAATACAAAATAATGCTATATATTTATTTACCAAGTATTTTATTAATACCATAAAAAATTTAAAAAATTTAAATTAATAAAGCCAATTATATGAACTACTTGAGGGATTTGTTGACAAAGAGAGTATTCAAATCACACAACAAATTGAAGTGAGAAACTACCTCGCAATGTCCTTGTTTGACAATCAGCATTTAGCGGTTAGCGTTAGCAAATTATATTAGCGGATTTGACCAGCGAATTATATCAACGGTTCGTAAAAAGATATTTGAAAAAATTAACCTTTTAAATTAACATTTCAAATGAACTAAGGGTATACATATAATAATAATAATAATAATAATAATAATAATAATAATAATAATAATAATAATAATAATAATTGTTTTAATAATAATTTTTTTAAAAAAATATAGATGTGTTTTGGGGAAATCATTCTAAAAAACGTTAAGTGAAAAATATTGTAAATTGCAACGTTTGTATTTTCAGTGGTTTGCAACAAATTGTTGCTTCAAACTGTTGAATAAACAAAACACTTTCTTTAGCATTTTGATCTTTGGGTTATATCATATTTACCAATCGTCAAATATCTTTGGGTTACATTATAATTAAAAATTTTAAATTTTTACTATATCTAAATTACTTAAATTAGGAATTTCTTTATCCATAATAATTTATTCGACAATAATGGTTGAACTAAATGAACACTGAGCAAAACACCTAATTGAGTGGTACCGTTGATTAATTCATTGATCTTGTATATATGTGCATTCATTAAATATATTAGAACACTTTGCAACAAAAATACTTGGTTACTATTTAAAAAAGTACCTTTAGAATGATTATCCAATTATATTAATTAATTCTATACTTGGTTTCAAAGTACTTATTGTTCAGATTTTAATTTTTCCTTTAGATTTCTTAATTTGTCCTTAATTATATAATTATCCAATCCTTTAACTTTTTCAGTAAGTACCTTTAATTCACCGTTAGTCTAATTCTAATATTAAAGTCTAATATAGAACTATAACTACAACATTAATATAATTCTAATATTAAAGTCTTAATAGAACTCTAAACACAAATCCGGAATCTCCTCAAACAATATTAGTATATATTTAATATTTTATGCTTTAATTTTTATTTGCTCTCCCTTATGTTCCGTATTTAGTTTCAACCATACCCATACAATTATTTTATTGACAATTATAATCAATCTTGACTATATTATCTTGCATTTGTAAAATTAGAATTACCAATTTAAATACGCAAATTCAACATTCAATTATCTATACATGAACAATTATAATATAATCTTACATTGATATACTTTAAAATACTTATTTAAGAAAAACATTGGGCATTATTTCAATCGCGCAATGCGCGTAAAAAAACTAGTTGATAAAAATAAAGTTTTTGGGTGTATCTGAACTAACCCAGAATAGCCCAAAAAAATTTCACCCCAACCAAACATATCCAAATTAAATTTGGTTAGGATATTGGGTGACAAAATATCACCCAAAACAAATTTTGAGTATCACCATCCGAACTGAACCAACACACCACCCCTATTCTTAATTACTTCAAAATGTACAAGTTCCATCCTAGCTACTTCAATATTAAGGATGCCATTCGTTAAAGCAACGCGAATAATCCAAACCGATAATGAAAAAAAGCAAGTTCAGTTCAACTTTGAGAACAACTAGCTTCTTATATATCTCTAGTTGATTTAACATTTAACTTCAAAATGTACAAACCCCATCATATTTCAATATTAAGGATGTCATCCGTTAAAGCATAGGTGAATAGTGCCAAAGAAGGGAGAAAAGTAAGTTCAATTCAACTTTGAGAACACCTCTTTAATATATATATATATATATATATATATATATATATATATATATATATAGAGAGAGAGAGAGAGAGAGGGATGCACTCAGGTGTGAATAGGTGCCAGGAGGGAATATTCGAACGAATCCGCGCGGGGCACGTGTCCAGATCAAATAGATTACAAAAATGTGGTGGCATTTTTGTAAATAATTGAACATCGAAGTGCAAGTAAAATCACTTACAAGTGCACCTACTTTCACATATAAGTGCATGTAATTTTGCCTTGCTAACATTCACTTCCCGCAAACATTCATGCACCTAGGTGCACGTACTTATAACTATAGGTGCAACTACTTATAACTATAGGTACACTTAGTATTGATGCTCAGTGTAAATTTTACTTATACCTATAATACATTTTACATGCACTTGTAATACATTTTACTTGCACTTCGATGTTCAATTATTTACGAAAATGCCACCGTATTTTTTTTAATCCATTAGATTTGGACACGTATCGCGCGCTGATTCATTCACATATTCCCTCATGGGCGCTTCATTTGCATCTGAATGCAATTATATATATATATATATATATATATATATATATATATATATATTTATTTATTTATTTATTTATTTATTGTTAATAAGATTTGAACTTATAACTTTTACCAGAATCATATATACTTCTTTACTCATCCCATCCGGGTTGCTTGATTTTTGTATGCATGCAAGTATCTTCCCCTTACTATAAATACCGTACTCCATACTACTGATCATTCATCCCACCATTATATTTCTTCCTATTCAATTCAACAAGCTAAGCTAAAGTTATATACCAAAATTAAAGCAACCATGAATCGTGCGATGGCTCCCGTGATCTTCATAGCGGCGGTGCTCGCCGCAGTGCGGCTTGGCCAAGCCATCGACTGCCAGACGGTGGACTTAATCATTTCCTCTTGCCTCGGCTACCTCCAAGAGGGCGGCGCTCATCCTCCAATGGAGTGCTGTGACTCCTTCAGAAACCTGCTCAGGGGTACTCCGACGCAGCAAGACAGGCAGGAGGCCTGCGAATGTCTCAAGGCCACCGCCGCTAGACCCGACATCAAGGCCGACGTTGCCTCCGTTCTTCCCTGGAGTTGTGGTCTTGCGAGCAGTATTACCATCAGCCGCGATATCAACTGTCAAAAGTTAGCAATCCGTTAGGACCGTTACATGCTGTAAATTATGGAATTTCCGACCACCTGAAAGTAATCTTAAATTAAGTGGAAAGTCTTGTTCCGACCACTTTTAGATGGTGATCAGAAATTTCATAATTTCCAACCGTGCATTACTACGTACATAGTAGAGCTCTGGATTTGTTTTTACTTATGTGGTTTTGTGCTTCTTGCAGCGTCCTTTGAAGTTGAAGACTATACCGGACTGGTATACTCTGATCGGATCGAGGGGAAGCTTTGGATAGCCGCCGCTTGAAATAATATGTTTTGTGTTAAGTTTACAATAAAGATTGAAGTGTCACTTTTGTTACATAATGTATAAAAGATTATATGATGTTTCAATTCTATGAATAAAATTATCCAATCTATTTTATTAATTATGAGCTGAGGTTGTTGATTTTAAAATTAATATTTATTTGCTCTTTAATTATTTCCTCGGTATGATTAATTAATTATAAGGTTAGCACATTTGGATCCACACAGGTAGCTTAGTCGGGTGTACGGACCTCACCTACGCAGGCGCCAAAAAATTAATGGGAGACTTGCCAATTTGACAATTTTAATGAGGCTTGTTTTCAACATTCAATCAAATAATACATCCAAATAAATGAAATTATGATAATTCATAATTCATAAGTCATAACATCAAATGTGAAATACTCAAATACTTAAATCATCCAAAGATTCAAAGTATTAAACTAGTCTACGGACGACTGGACCAGTCGACATCAGACGAAAACGACCGACTCGGCCGAGTTGACCGCCTAGATCGAGTTGGCCGACTAGGTTAATTTTGACCGATTTTGGTCGATTTCGCCACCTAGGCGCCCGATCGATTTTTGGTCGCCTAATAGTGAAAGCGGAATAGCCTTGGGGCGCCTAGGCCGATTTTATCATAATCAAGTATTATTGACTATGTCATGCACTTGCCCCTACTTACTACAGGATGGACAATAGATTTGACGGGTAATTCATTTTGATGGCTCTATTTGTGATCTTAGTGACTTTATCTAGCGAAGGATCACATAAACCAATTTAAGTTATCATAAAACTAATTTTAAGTTAAGAAGATCATTAGACAAAAAAGTAGAACTTGATTGCCAAATACCTAATACTTCAATATTAAGAATGTCATCTGTTAAAGCAAACACGAATAATCCGGACAGAAAGGCCCGGAGAAAAGCAAATTCAGAGCACGGCTGATATATACCTGCAATGGAAGTCATGCTATCACGCCATTCTTGCTTCTTCCCCTTACTATAAAAAACCCCACTCCATCCCTCCATCAATTATAATTCAACAAGCTAATAAGTTATATATATATATATATATATATATATATATATATATATATATATATATATATATACTAGCTAAAAGAAACCATGAATCGAGCAATGGCTTCGGCGGCTATCCTCATTGCGGCGGTGCTCGCTGCGCTGCGACCTGGCCAAGCCGTCGACTGCGGCCTGGTGGACTTCACAGTGTCCCCTTGCCTCGCCTATCTCCAAAACGGCGGCGATGCTCCTCCACAACAGTGCTGTGACGCCGTTAACTCCCTGATCAGGATAACTCCGTCGCAGCAAGACAGGCAGGACGCCTGTGAATGTCTCAAGGCCGTCGCCCCTACCTTAGGCGTCAAGGCCGAGGTCGCCACCGGTCTTCCCGGCAAATGTGGCGTTTCCACCGGCGTCCCCATCAGCACCGACATCAACTGTCAAAGGTTAATTAGTAATTCGATCGTTATTACTACGTGTTAGATTATTTCTGTCTGATTAATTCATTTCACGTATGCTAATTTGTGTTCTTCTTGAATTGCAGTATCGGTTGAGCGTTGAATTGAATGCGTGCATGGCGGCGGACTACCGGACTGAATAATCCGATGAGAAGCTTTGGATGGCTACTTGAAATAATCCGTTTTGTTCATCTTTTTTGTTTGCAATAAAGATTGAAGTGTGACATTTGTGATATTATATTGTACAAAGGTTTATAAGTATCTATGAATCAAATTATGCGGTCCATTTTATGGCTCTGTCTTTCTTATTATGATACTAATTTTTTACGCGCATTGCGCCATTGGAATCATGCCCAATATTTTTTTTTTTTAAATAAGTACTTTAAAGTATATCAAAGGCAAGATTATATTGGAATTGTTCATGCATAGATAATTGAATGTTAAATTTGCGTATTTAATAGGCAATTCTAAGTTTACAAATGCAAAATAATATATTCAAGATTGATTATAATTGTCAATAAAAAAATTGTATAGGTATGGTTGAAACCAACTACGGGACATAAGGGAGAGCAAATAAAAATTAGGACATAAAATATTAAATATATACTAATATTGAAGAGCTAACTGTTGATTGCCAAAAAAGGACATTGCGAGATAGTTTCCTACTTCAATTTGTTGTGTGATTTGAATACTCTTTTTGTCAATAAATCCCCCAAGTTGTTAATATGATTGGCTTAATTATATTTTTTTTATTTTTTTATTTTTTAAAACAATTATTATTATTATTATTATTATTATTATTATTATTATTATTAAATATATGTATACCCTTAGGTCATTTTACATGTTAATCTAAACAGCTAATTTTTTCAAATATCTTTTTACCAACCGTTGATATAATTCGCTAGTCAAATTCGCTAATATAATCCACTAACGCTAACCGCTAACTGCTGATTGTGAAACAAAGACATTGCGAGGTAATTCTCACTTCAATTTGTTGTGTGATTTGAATACTCCATTTGTTAACAAATCCCTCAAATAGTTAATATAATTGAGTTTATTAATTATATTTTTTTAAATTTTTTCATGGTATTAATAAAATACTTGGTAAATAAATATATAGCATTATTTTGTATTATAACTTTGATATTTAATTAAACAATAGTGCACAAAAAAGATAATAGACAATGTAGTGAATATAATCAATTGATGAATTTGAATGTAAAGAATTTTTAATTGGAGAAATATAAAGACAATATAACTAATAAAATTATTTCTCTTAATTAATTTATTGATAATGAATAATTTTTTTTGTTAATAAAGACATTGTAGGGAGAATGTAGCGAATATAATCAATTGATGAATTTGAATGTAAAGAATTTTTATATTGGAGAAAAATAAATACAATATAACTAATGAAATTATTTCTCTTATTTAACTTATTGATAATGAATAATTTTTTTGAATAAAGACATTGTAGACACATAATTCTAAATTAAAGAAATGCATATGTATTATTTTTTGTTGTAGCTACTAAATTATTATTTTAATTTAATAAGAGTAAAATAGAGTACTAATTATGCCAACTTTGATTGGGATGGGGTTCGAACCTAAGACCTTTCTTATTGAAATCAATGAGTAAGTTAACGATGAACTAACAGAAATTAACGGAAAAGATAATATTTAACGGAAAAGTTAACGGATAATCATATTCATTAAGGATAAATTAGGAAATCTTAAGGAAAAATTAAAATCTGATCAATCTGAACCATTCATCATTTGATTAAAAAATTTGACCGCCAACTTTGATTGGGATGAGGTTCGAACCTAAGACCTTTCTTATTGAAATCAATGAGTAAGTTAACGGTGATGTAACAGAAATTAATGGAGAAGATAATATTTAACGGAAAAGTTAACGGATAATCATATAATTAAGGATAAAATAGTTTGAACATAAAATATGTCAATTGAGATGGCGTCCGACTCTCTCTCTGATTTCCCTTCGCCGGCGGCGACCAATCGGTCGCCGGAAGATCAGGATTTGTTGGAAAGAAGTACAAAGAAATCTAAAAGGGCCAGGGAACCTATCACCACTTCGTCCAATCCGGCCACAGAGAACTTAGTTCAAGAAACACCGCAGGGTACTCCAGAATCGACTCATTGGCAGACACCGGCGGCAACCTCGAATTAGGCTTGGAATCGGAAATCGGTGGATACACCGCTAGAAGAAGTTGAAGTGTCCGATGATGATATGGACGACGACGGCAAGACATATGACTACCCTGTGATTAGGGTTACAAAAGAAGAAAAGGAGCGACTAAGACGTCCTTGACGCAGATCCTTAATTATCCGCCTACTGGGGAGAACGGTGGGGTACTCATATCTTCTCCAAAGGTTACAAAGGATGTGGAAGCCGGAATCTGGATTCGAATTAATTGCGCTCAACAATGACTATTTCTTGGCCAAGTTCGACTCACTTGCGGACTATGAAGCTGCCAAATATCAGGGACCATGGATGGTTTTCGATCATTACCTAATAACGCTCGAGTGGAGGCCAAATTTCGACACAAGAAAGGGCGCGGTGGATAAAGTCTTGGCATGGCTAAGATTCCCCTCCCTCCTGATTGAATACTTTGATGAGGACTTCTTGAAAAAAATCGGCAAGAATATAGGGCGCCCAGTCAAGATCGACACTGCAACAGATTTTGTCTCCAAAGGTAAATTTGCTAGGGTATGTGTAGAGCTGGATATATCTAAGCCACTTTTGCCGATGTTTGTCATTGAAGGGGTTGAATGGCCAATTGAGTATGAAGGCATCCATCAGATTTGCTTCAAGTGCGGAACTTACGGTCATCGGATAGAGCAATGTGGGGTAAACGAAGCAGGAGAGTCCACATCTGTCAATGGAGCGAGTGAAGCACCACCTGTGCCAGCCCCAATCCAGAAACCTAAAGAAAGATATGGGGCATGGATGCTTGTCACACGCAAGGACAGGAGAAGACAAAACAGAACACCTTTTCAGCCTGGAAGCGGAGTGGGCAGACCAAGGACCCATTCGACACCTGGTAACACTAATGAACCAGTTCACCTGGGTTCTCCATCGCGATTTGCTGCGCTGCAAAATGAGGATGAATTGATGGGAGAAAACCAAGGAGATCTACCTAGAGCTCCAGACGTTCACCAATCGGTTAATCTACCCAGAATCAGGACTAATTACAGAGGGGGTCATCAAGGATCTGGCCGAAGGCCAACAGAAGGAGATAGGACAATAAACCATCCACCGCCCACACCTCAAGCCCCACCACCAACTCGAGAAACAACAAGAGGCCGTGGGGGTAGGGGGGACTTCCTAACCGGGCGGCAGCCGAAATGGAACACACGGTTGTCCAGGGAAATAGAACGGGCGTTATTTCAACAACCACAGTGTATCATGAAGACATTCAAACGGATGCTCCTGTACTGGTCGACCATGGAGACAGCCTGGAGCACGTTCCGCCTGATATCAACTTGGCTGAACCAGTGATGGGCGAACCTCCGGATATCGATATGCAGGATGGAGTTGGTCGTTCTGACCATAGTGGATTTGTGGCAGACTCTCGCCAAGGCCTTTGAGCCTGTGTCCCTTCCCTCTTCCTTTTTTAATGATTAGTTTTATTTGGAATTGTCAAGGGGCGGCCTCGAATTCGTTTAGGCGCACCCTTAAGTATTTTGTTTCCTTACACAATCCTTCGATTGTTTGTCTATTGGAACCCAAAGTTTCAGGACATCAGGCGAATGCTATATGTTCCAAGTTTGGCTTTGATGATTGGATTAAAGTAGAGTCTGTAGGCTTTTCTGGGGGAATTTGGATTTTATGGAAAAGCAATTTGAATATTGATATTTTGTACACTCACCCACAATTTATATGTTTGCAGGTAATGGAAGCTGGGCAGAACTCCTGGCTGATGACTGTGGTTTATGGGAGCCCGGACCATAGTCTTAGAAGGAAACTCTTTGAAGATCTTTCTGGGGATCGGTTTGATCCACAAGGTCCTTGGTTGACCGTAGGTGATTTCAATTCGGTCACCTGCAAAGAAGAAGTTAGCAACTCAGAATCCTATTCTCACACAAGATGCTCACAATTCAATAATTGGATCCATAGCGAAAGACTTATAGACTTAGGGTATACTGGATCAAGTTTTACATGGATGAGAGGGGTGGACAAGCCCTCCTTCAAAGCGGCTCGTTTGGATCGCGCCCTCAGCAACATAGAATGGAAGCTACGCTTTCCGAATGCAGAAGTTCAACATTTACCTATGATTAATTCAGACCATTCGCCGCTACTTCTGAATACTGATCGGCTTCCCATTGACCCAACACTTAAAAGCTTCAGATTCAATTCAGCATGGAACATTGTTGGAAACATTATGGTTCGGACTGTGAAGAAGTTCTTTGATGAAGGACATCTCCCACATGGCTGCAACGACACTCTTCTACCATTGATCCCTAAGGTACCCGCCCCAGAGAATGTGAAACAGTTTCGTCCCATAGGCCTGTGCAACGTCTCCTACAAGTTGATAACGAAGATCATGACCATTCGGCTGAAAGAGATTTCCAGAAAATTAGTGGGCCAGCACCAATCAAGTTTTATCCCGGGAAGACAGATTTTAGAAAACATTCTTATCTATCAAGAAGTTCTAAATTCAATGAGAAACAAAAAAAGGAAAAACAGGTTGGATGCTGATGAAAGTTGATCTGGAAAAGGCATATGACCGGCTTTCATGGGAATTCATTAAGGATACACTCCAGGATATAGGATTTAATCAGACGTGGATAAGGAATATCCTAGAGTGTGTTACATCATCCAAACTAGCAGTCCTATGGAACGGGCAGCAAACAGAGTGGTTCAAACCAGGGAGAGGAATTAGACAGGGAGATCCACTTTCCCCTTTACTCTTTGTTCTTTGCATTGAAAGATTGAGTCACATAATCAATTGTTCTATTAGACATAGTGACTGGAAAGGCATTAGAATATCCCGTAATGCTCCTAATCTGTCTCACCTCTTTTTTGCAGATGATCTAATCCTATATGGAGAAGCATCGGTCCAGCAGGCTAAAGAAATGAGGAAATGCTTGGATTTGTTTTGTTCAGTCTCGGGTCAAGCAGTAAGCTTACATAAGTCTTCCTTATTTTTCTCAAAAAACGTGCCTTCTCAGCTCCAACAGAACATAGTCAATGCTTCTGGAATCCCAAGTGTTACCAATATGGGAAAATACTTAGGCATTCCTTCTATCCATGGTAGACTTAAATGTGACTCATATTCGGGAATTATTGAAAGGATCCAGACACGTCTATCAGGGTGGAAATCTAGCTCTCTCTCGTTGGCTGGAAGGCAGATTTTGGCCCAATCGGTCCTCTCGGCGATCCCCTATTTCACTATGCAGACAACTCAACTACCTGTTGGAGTTATTGCGTCCATTGAAAAGATGATCAGAAGTTTTATTTGGGGAAGTAATCAAGGATCAAGACGATGCCATCTGATTAACTGGGATGTAATTACTAGAAGCAAGTCCAATGGAGGACTAGGCATCCGAAAGTTGAAGGAGATGAACCAAGCTTATCTTGCAAAGCTGGGCTGGAACCTTGCGAAGGACTCAAGCAGCTTATGGGCTGACCTCTGCAAAACCAAATACGGTATTGTATCCCACGACCCTTCTTCTTGACGATTAAAGAGCAATTGCTCGAATGCTTGGAGAGGCATTTATAATGCAATCCCAATCATCTAGAGTGGGTCTAGGTGGCAGGTTAGAAATGGTCTCAACACACTCTTTTGGAAAGATAGATGGATAGACGATAGACCCCTTTTGGAACTAGCCACTGGAGAGGTCCCTACAACAGTCCTCAACAGATCCGTCAATAGCTACTGGAATCAGGACTTTGGCTGGTGTTAGGACCAGGTAACACATCTACTTCCGGACGAAATCTGCAGGAAACTTGAAGCATTTGTACTTATCAATGAACAGGATTTGAATGATATTCGAAGCTGGCCTGGAGAGCTCAACGGAGAATTTTCAGTGAAATCTGCTCATGACATCGCCCTGGGACCTGAGAATCTCCCAAACTCTGCTAACTGGAACAAAATCTGGAAGTTGAAGCTACCCAATAAGATTCGCACCTTCATCTGGCTTACTAGACACAACAGGATCATGACAAACCTTAAACGTTTCAAACGCGGCCTAACCACATGTGATAAATGTGGGCTATGTGGAGACATCACGGAGGACAGCGACCATGTGCTGCGATTTTGTCCAGCAGCAGAAGAAGTATGGGGTATTATATTACCAGAGACTCACGAGAGGCTTAGAAACCTACCATTAGTTAATTGGATCGATGAAGGGATTGCGGAAGCATCAGGTGGCAGAAGACCACATTCGCAGTTACTTCATGGTGGTTATGGAAGTGGAGAAATGAGGCTATTTTTAGCAACAAAATCACACCTCTGTCCACGAAGATTATAATCTTGAATTCTCAGATTAATGAGATCAACAGAGCATTTTCAAGAGCTAGAGGACCTCAAGTTTCAGATGATAGACTTACATGGAGGAACCTATGTTGGTCAAAACCACCGGAGGATTTTGTCAAAGTAAACGTCGATGGTTCGGTATCTCCTTCATCTCTCCTTGCGGGCTGTGGCGGAGTCATCAGGAACTCTAATGGGGATTGGATCAATGGATTTACGTTTGTGATAGGTATGTGCACCCCCTTGGAAAGTGAAGCATGGGCAGCATTGAAAGGAGTTCAGCTTGCTATTGGCTATTGCTGGTGGTTTCAAAAAAGTCTTACTGGAAACAGATTCTGAGGAAATTGCGAAATTCATGAAAGCTTCAAGACCTTCCACGATTGCGACACACAACATTCTTTCTGCTTGCAAACGTGAACTCCGTAAACTGGACCAATGGCAGATCTCGGCCATCCCCCGAGAACAAAATCGCATTGCAGATTACCTTGCTAAAAAGTCTAAAGGGCAACTAAGCAGATTACAGATTCTACCAGATGCCCCTCAAGAAATCAGAGGCCTACTAGAAGATGAGGTTCCCTATATGGCGAAATATTTGTATTAATTAGGACTTCTAGTTGCTTCCCCTGGGTTTCCCCCTTCCATTTTAAATAATAAAAAAAAAAGGATAAATTAGGAAATCTCTAAGGAAAATTTAAAATCTGAGTCATTCATTTGATTAAAAATTTGACCGTTATTTTTTCTATCTATTATTATAAGTCTAACTCTATTTGGCTCTTATTAATATATATATATATATATATATATATATATATATATATATAAAAGATACAATATTTACAAGCTAAGACATCAATTATATATATGCCTTATTATATCTTGGTATAGTTTATTTACATGTATGGTATATTTATTTATTAATCCTGCGATATTAATGAATAGATAAAAGATCATTTTTGATCCTCGGCTATAGTATATGTATCAAATTTGATCATTGTTTATTAAACTTTTTAAATTAGGTGTATGATTATGTAATTTGTATCACACATTTGGCCATTGACTATTATTATATTCAAAAAAAAAAAAAATTGAAAGGTAATATATTCAAATTAGTTGCATAACTTTGTAATTTGTATCACATCTGATCATGTTGTTAAAATTTTCAGTCAAATTTATGGCCAAGTAACCGAAAAATATTAATAGTCAATAATCAAATGTGATACTTATTACATAATCTTGCATGCACCTAATAATTTACAAATTTTAATAGTCAATGACCAAATTTGATACATGTATTATAGTTGATGGACCAAAAATGATATATATATATATATATATATATATATATATTTATTTATTTATTTATTTATTTATTTATTTATTTATTTATAGTTTTATATATAGTATATAGGTATTATATTGTTTGCCTTGTCAACATCTCATTCTAACACATCGACGTGCATGGAATTTGGAATAACAAATTTCAAGAGAACTTGAAATTTGAAAAATGTTTTAAAAGAATTAAAAATTAAAAATGGTGGTTCAAACATGAATTGTTAATTCATGAAATTGAAATCAAATCTTCCTTATGACTACAAGATTTCAATTCCAACAGTACAAATCTCGAACTATGAATTATTTATTTAGAACTAAAATTGAACCATGATAAACAATAGCCATCCCTACCCACAAGCTACAACGTGTGAATGAATAAATCCTTAAAAATCAAGGTTGTGAACGGAGAGTCATTTGAAGTACAAAAATTTTTTTAAAAAAAAATGACTAACCACTCAACCAGTATGATATCGATGCTGAATAAAATAGAACTATATTTAGATACCAACAAATCAACAATTGTGTCGATTGAAATTATAATTTCCTAAATTTAAAATCATACTTCAAAATGTACGAGCTCCATCTTACTTCAATATTAAGAATGTCATTTATTAAAATATACACGGTATGAATAATCCAAATTAATAAGAGGAAAAAGAAAATTCCGTTCAACTTTGAGAACATATCTTATATATCTCTATGTGATTTAAAATCTTACTTAGGGGTGGCATAAACTTCATGTAAGCCCGAATAGTTATCGGATATTTTTAATTATGGTATAACTAATATAAATAAATAAATAAATATAAATATAAATATAAATATATATATATATATATATATATATATATATATATATATTATCTTAACTATAATAAAGCTATATGGTTTGGGAAGTAATTAATTAATGTTACAATTATTATTTTGGTGAGTAATTATTGTTACAAGTATTATCTCTATCCTAATTATTATTATAAAATAGCCACAACATTCTTTACTATAAAAAAAAATGCACAACATTTGAAAAATAAAATAGCTATTTTTTTTTCCCCATAACAAAGGATTACATTTATTTTAAATTTACTCATACAAAATTTGAAATTTGCTTTCTAAATGTAATTATCTTAGTTATTATTCGTATTGTGAAAATTATAATCTAAATGAAATACAATTAAGAATAAATCAATGTAATTATGTAAATTTTCTCTATAAGTTTATTTGAATATGTACATAATTAGAGATTATATTAACCATACAAAATTTTAATTTTAATTTTAATTGTAATTTTGTATTCTATAAAAATAATAAATACTTGACCGATGGAAGCTCAAAAATATTATTATATTAAACAATTTAAAATATTTTTATTTTTTCTATTTTCTATTTATATTTATAATAACATCATTTTTTCCCGTGCATCGCGCGGCTGAATCACTAGTATGTATATATATATATATATATATATATATATATATATATATATATGGTTCAGATATCGAGAGTTAACATTTTATCCATACCAATCACAGCCCGAACTAATTTAAACGCTTATGATTCTTTATAAGGTAGTATTTATAATGTCTCCACCACCAGGTTCGGTCCTATGACCACCCATTTAGAATGGTAACATATGTGTCATCACACTATATAATAGTTGTCATATAAAAACTTAGGGATGTGGTTGAATGGAAAGGGCTCATCGATCTTTAACCAAATGTGAGTTAGATCATTGACTTTGGGTAGGGAACAATCTTAAATCTCCAGGCCAGCTGTCCTACGCAATAGATGTGCCGTATAAATTATATATTTAGTTTTAAATGTATTTCATAATTCATGAACATATTAATTTCCAATAGTCTCTTAGTTAATTAATTATTAGTATTTTGTATTTTTTTTTAGTTTAATAGTATATAAAAAATATATAAA